ACTGCAAAGGAACTGAAGATATTAGCAGTAGAATGACAGCACTCAGTACCTGTGATAGTCCGTTGAGTTCCTGCTGATGCATGAAAGACTAACTGATAATTATGTATCGCTGAACAACAGGTTCAAAATTAGCAGAGTAAAAATGACCGAATGTTTTGCCTTGACGAGCCTCAACGTGTACTGAGAAGACGTGAAACATCAGTGTTGTCTGTGTTGACAAACGCTCTGCACTGCAAACTCAAGGGACACGAAATATAGTGCATGGTAAATAGCTGCCGCTGTGACTGTTAATTTACATATGAGTTAAATGCTGTTCATAATTGAGTATGAGAAATATGAGGTCGGTTTAAACAGAATGACTAATGACCGACGAATGATTCATATCCATCGGTGACCACGCCAGAATATTTCAGGTCGCCAGACACTGGACGCGACAGCGTTAAAACCGAATCAATTAGTTGCTGTTCATCGCTGCCTAATCGTCCGCAATCATTGAACTTCAGGGTCAACCATCTGGCGCCCAGTGGCGAGGCTCGCGCCAGTCCTTTGTCGCGCAGGCATCGGCTATCACCACCAAATATTGACATCGCCGCATAATGACATAATTATAAATACAACGACGATACCCGTTTTCTGACTTACTGTCAGTTTGCAACGAACTGGCACCACTGCGGTGGAGGAAGTAAACCTCCAGACCCTCATAATTACCCTCACAAAATTTACTTCACAGAAAACATGTCTATTCATCGTTAAATGTGAACGACGGCTTATGCGTACAGTTTCTGTCAGTATGTGTACGAAGAGGCAACCGATATTGTCTCTTGTCATCACCACTTTCAGTTAAAACGAGCTTCAACAGCAAACTTAAAAATATCAGTAACGCTTGATTCGATGAAATGCGTGTCCCGGCTTCATATCAGACATCAGCTGACAGTTGAGGCTAAGCTCATAGTCATTATCACTATTATCAGGAGTTCAGCTTCCTGCAGAAACTGGTATCAAATAAGGATTTTCAGAAGAAATTTGCCTATTTATAGTTGATTTAGTTGATAGTATTAAGCATGACAAGTAGATATTAATTATTTGTATCATTTGAATGGTTAGGAACTTCATGCAAAGTCGATGAAATGGAAATCGTAAAATAAATTTTTAATAACTTTTAAGCCCTTCCAAGTCCTATTTCCCCTAATTCAACGTGTTGGGACTGTGACGAATCTGTTCGGTTCTTGCTACAATGCATAGCTAAGCTTTTAGCCTCTGGTGGGTTCAACCATGCTGTGAAAACTAGAGGAATATGGCGGCCAATTCGAAGAGGCAACACTCGCCAACCCGTCAGCGTGTTGAGATATGGCCAAATCCTTCGAGATGAAATTAGAGCAAAAATAACAGCCCAGCTGGATCCCGCCCCCCCCCTGCAAGC